AAAACTCAGAGCGGAAGCACTGTTGGTTTTTGGGTCGTGTAGTTTTTTTGACTCGCATTATAGCTTCAAGGAAAAAAACTACAAAATGGCGGCGCCAGTACTGGATTTTTTTTCTTTCTATTTTATTTTATTTTTTGGCATCGATCCTAGTTTTTTTTAGTTGCTATTGGTTTGCTCCCGCTCCCGTCTACTCCCGTTAATGTTTAATCCTGTACCATCGCAATCACGTGGCAAGGCAGAGCAAGGCAATCCAGAATCCAAAAACATCACCAAGACCTGACAATCAGGCAGAGCAGGAACGCTTAATGCTTAGTAACCGTTAGCTTTCAGACAATCTGGACCTCCCAAGATGGTTAAGCATGAGAGGGCTCAGGTCCTGTGGGACTTCCAGATACAAACAGACCAACCTGACATTGTGATCATGGATAATCTGCAGAGGAAAGCCGTACAAGAGCTCCACACCAGGGGGAGGAGGCACTAAACCTGGACGTAGCTGAAGTTAGGAAAACTCTGAGTCATCCAAGGAAGGCCCCAGGGCCCGTTAACGGGTGTTCAAGGAGTGTGCAGGTCAGCTGGCTGGTGTTCTCACAGACATTTTTAACACCTGGCTGGAAGCAATCCATACCTGCCTGTCGCACTGACTCCAATCATGATGAAGTGCTTCCAAAGGCTGGTTAAAGAACACATCGTCTCCAGGCTCCCCCCAACATTCGACCTGTTCCAGTTTGCCATCCGAGGAACCGCTCCTCTGAGGACGCCATTTCTGCTGCTCTCCACCTGAGCCTGGCACACCTATAGGAGAAGAACACCCCCGTTCGGATGCTGTTTCTGGACTTCAGTTCAGCTTTCAACACCATCAACCCACAGCAATCTTGCGAGGAGCACCTGGTCGTGGTCGGTTTATGATGAAATTATGTTCTTTCTACTTCCGGATTATGGCCCAAATAGTGCTAACCTAAACATGCAGAAGTATAGAAATCCTTCTATAATCCCTCCCATTATTAAAAGGTTGCCATGGTCCTCATAAAGCTCTCTACATTTATCCATCATGAAAGATTTCTTGTGTGATGCAGAGACACAGATTTTTGCGTCTCTGAAAAGGAGGACTATTTTTGGGGGTTGGGGATTGGGGGGGCTGCTGGGCTGGACTGGGTCCAGGCTACCGTTACTGCAAGGGAGTAACTGTGTGATGAAAGTTGGTGGGGAGACTCGGGTGGGGGCTCATGGACCTACAGCTACACTTTCATTAGGCTAATTTTCCAAAAATGAGCTCAAACATCTATTTATTGAATGCTTTCCTATTTTGGAGAACACAAGAACACAACACACTGATATTTATAACTATAGATGTTAGAGAGATGCCTTTTAGTGCATTACAAATATAGGGCCCCAAAATATCATTGCATGAAAAAAATAATTAATAAGAGCTAATTCCAATGCCAACATTGATAAATCATGCAACCCTAGAAGTTTAATTCCTTTCAATTTCAAGTGCATCCAGAAAAACATGCATATGTTGCATTTTAAATATAGAATGGCATGTTTTTTTCTTGTAAACTTTCTGGTAAACTTGGAGATATATTTTATTGCATGTTGCATATCCCAGTAAATCAGTTTCAACTTTAAATCTGCAGCTCTCCCTGCTTAACCTGTAACTGGGAGTCATGGTCCTCTTTTTTTTTAACTAGTAAAGAAGAACAAACTATGTTTTCTCAAGCGTCTGCATTACAACACCAACTTGTTTAAACTTACAATCTGTTGCCATTTTTAGCTGAAAAAGCTCAGTATGTCTAACCAACAGTGGTGTCTAAAGGTCCCACATTTGTTACTTCATGAGAAGTATAGATACTGCAGTTTAAAAACACTCTGGTAAAAGTT